TGTGTGTGTGTGTGTGTGTGACCGCGTGTGTATGTGCAAGACGTAGCAGCAAAGGAATTGGGGAATCCAATCTCTCACACAGAGGAGCAGAGACAGGCGGGCAGATATGCTCCAGGCCCAGGATAACCCAAGCGGTATCCATGAATGAAATGACAGGATTACTGGGGTATTAGAAAACCTGCTGAGATGGTTGATAATGCTGTTTATGGTCGGGCGTCACACCGCTTGCAGGGAAAAAGTCTAACTGTTTGACTAATGAAAAATATGGACATGCTCTTCAAATAGTCACAGAGCAGAACATTTCAGGGCAGGAGGTCTTCCTCTCCTTACAGTAATGGTTTGGTGTTACCTACCCGATGGATATTAACACAAATAGTCAGAGATTTATGTCAGCTGCATTGTTGTGGATGAATCTGTTCAAAATAGGGACAGTAAACATAAGCCCCCCTATCCTGGTTAAGAATGGGATTATTGTTGTGTCAACAACCCCCATAGATAATAGTAATTACTGCCTGTGCTGCAGCGCCATCAGACTGCAACTTTGCGAGATGACAGCTTGGTCCTAATTACCAAGAACCACCAATTACTGGCTCCATTTCATTATTTATTTTGCTCAGCACACCCAAATAAAAGAGACTTCAGTGACTCTCGGCAGCCACAGCTCTGGCAGCTGCAGAGGAACATCCGAAGGACCTGCTGAATCATTGTCTTATAGTATTTTTCCTGACAATATAGGAGTCAGCATACAAACACATCATTGTTAGTTGTACCGAGTAAAGTAGTAAAAATGGAGCTCATAGGGGGCTGTTCCTCTTTGCCCGTCACAGGAAGTTATTTAGCTGCAAAGGAAGTGCTTTATCATATCTTCTTTTCCCACTTGCATCTGCTCATTAATATGCCAACAGGGCTGCAGAATCGATTCTAAAAACACCAGCCCTGGAGCCTTTAACTACTAACACAGCTTGCATGTTGTATCTACATTCATATTTCATTCATTCTGCTCTGAGATCTATGTTAGAATAATTGACTTGTCTGCCATGGAAAAGATGTCTTCCAAAATAATAAAATAAACACAATTCTTTATCTGGCGAGTGTTTTCAACTACCCACACACACACACACACACATCTAATTTCACAGATGTTTCCTATCACCCTCTGCTGCCAAGCGTTGTCCAGTGATGGCTGAGAGGAATGGGGCTTGGGGTGTGAAATTCTGCTTTCCCTGCTCTGCTGAATTCTCCAGGAACTTGGCAGATCATTGTGGAGATTTGTATGTCTGTGGATTTGATATAAAACTGTTTGAGAGGCTCGTCTGGAGTCTGTCTCTCATTGTGCCTCCCCTTAAAGTGGGCCTGGCTGTTTAGCTTATGTTCCCGTAAAGCCTGATGGCCACGATTCTTAGCCCCCAAGGGTGCAGATGTGACGATTATCTTGGCAAACAGGTCTCATGCCATCATCTGAAAAATACCAATTACAACGCTTTGTTGCTCCAAAAGAGGATGCCTCTCAGTAAAGAAAAGCCCATAATCCACACATTTGGAAACCACACAAAAAAACACCTGTATCGCCTATACAGATTACTACAATCGTACATCTTGTTGATTACCAAAACCTCTTTTGGTTACTCAGTGCAAATTCAATGAATAACACACCTGCTAAAATGGCAGCTCAAGCTTTAGCAAGCTGCAAAGCATACACAGCTATCACACTCCAAAAATGACAAACCATCTCAAAAACAACGATTAGGTATGTATAGAGTCGATCTAACATTACGATCCAAAGCGCTTGGTATTTAAATGACGGTTGCGCAGGGCAGGCTTTGTTTGCAGGGGCTGGAGTGGAGCAGTATATGTTGCCCGGAGGCCGGATCTGTTCCAACTGTGCCCTGGCAAGAAAAACGTTCAGCCCAGTCAGCCTCGACAGCTTGGATATTCACAGGGGGCGATGGAAAAACTGGAGGGCTGCAGTACCATGTTGGAGTTAAGGGAGCTCTGCGGAGGAGGGGTGATGAGTCAGGAACAAGGTGTTTTATATTATTTTGGTACCACAAGGTCATGGCATTTGCCGTGTGCGTTGAGTAAATCCAAACGTAGGCTGAGGAAGAGGGCATTGTGTGGCCTGCGGCGGTTTAAGTTTATCATCTGGCAAGAGGCTAGCAGCATTTTTAACCACCTTTACAAATTCTGAAGGTCCTATTCTTAATGCCAACACTGCAATACTTTGCTTTGGTGATTGTACATTCTCAAAGCCTGGAATTGAATTATTTATTCATCACCGCAGAGAAAACTGAATACTCTCAATGGTTCAAGAAAATTACAAACAAAGCATGACCATGATGTTTTAACATGTGCAATTTCTTCCACACTGATTGTCATAGCAATGAGCTTAGATAACTTGAAACATTGTTTCATTTGACAAACCAATTTAAGAGTTTTCATAGATCACAGGCATTAAAGTTAGGATTATCACTTTGATTTAGTGTGAGAAATTAATTATTCACTCTCATCACTGGGGATGAATAGTTGAATGATGACTAATTTAAAAAAATCATACAAGGGACTTTTGATGTTGGACAGCTTTCTAATCACCTTATTAACCTGAAAAAACTTCAAAAATGTCAGTTGGGATTTAGCCATCTGTAATATTTTGAATAAAAGGGGAGCTTTTTTGAAAAACAATATTTTGTGTCTGCCTACTCTTTGAAATGGTATTTGTCAGAGGTATGACTATCCCATAAAGAGCCTTGATAACCTATTTTATATATCCTTCAAAGAAACACATTTAAAAACAGTAAACTAAACGAGCATCTCAAGCAAGAATAAGGTTGTGTAGCCGTCTCATTGCCTGCATTGATTAACGTTCAAAGTATTTTAAAGCAACACAACAAATAAAAAAGGTCATTGTCGTGCAAACAGCTGGAAAAAGGACAACAAAAACCAGAGATTTGTTTGCTCTTTTGCATCCAAATCCATTCATTCCCCAATACCTCTTTGCTCCGGAGTTATGCCATGGCAAAGCCTCATGGGAAGAATGATTGACACTTCCTAATCCTCATGGATACCAAAAAAACATGTCATTACCATGACATTTACACAATCTTCTGGGATGTGAGATGAAATGTGGGAACAACAAAGGGATAACATCGGTGTACAAAACTCTAAAAATAAGGCGTGTGAATTTTTAATGCCCTGTGTTTTGGGTCACAGGCGTAGCTTAAGTACTAAGAGGGAAAAAAAAAAACATCCCTCCACCCTATTTCTATTAATTCAGCACAGCTAGAACAACCACTTGGGGTAGCCTACATTTCAAATAAGCCATATTTTGTATATCTTTAAGACCAGCAGGCAGTCTGGCGGGCATGCAGTCCTGGAGGAAATGTGATGGAAAGTGGAGCACAAGAGTTTTGACCTAAGCAAGTGGCTGATTATGGAGAAGATGAGCGAGAAAATAAAGTTGTTTGTCGAGATAAGCCCTTCACAGATGGACGAGTGTGGCACACTAAGAAACCAGCAAGTCCTGAGGCTTTGTGGCAGCTCTGGGTTTTAAAGTTCACCACAGAAACAGTTAAGGAGGAAGGCACGTTTCCAGACAATTTCAAATATGGGGGGAAGGGCCATATGCAATTTTAGGGGTACCAATAATATTAAGCAAAATGACACATTACAGTATCACATACTTGTACTACATATTTTCATAGGTTTGGTTCTCCAAAAGATTGCAAAATATATAAACGATGGCAACAACTAACAACACTCATGCTCATATGCTTGCATGCAAGTACCATACATTTTATCACCGCTATGAATTATTTTATTTTACTGCCATCAATTTCACCACTCTCTGGGGATAAGTGTGCCCCCCACGGCCCGAAACTGCCCTTGGATAGAAGTGATGAACAGTGGGTTAACCCAAATATAGTATATCATGCACCATTACATGTCAATATTCCTCACCGTGTCCTTTTACTACTTGACTCATAGCAAAGCATGGTGGTATTTTCCACTCTTGACTGAAGTATTAACAGAACAAGCTTTAACAGCTGTTTTATAAAAGATTTTAGCAGCAGTTTATTGCTGGGGATGTTAACTTAATAAGCATCAGAGCAAATGTAATTACATGCCGACCTTAATAAGCAAGTTAGAAACCAACTGGTGGGCAAATAAAGTTTTGACAGCATAATACGTATCCTAAGTTGTAGGCCGAGACTTGACTTTTAATTGGACTATTGTTTCCAGACACACAAACAAACTGTGTTGACCATTTTAAAGAAAGCAATGTTCTATAAGCTCAATAACTGAAAGTGTTATTATTGGTGTGCTGTGACACTGAGGCTGACCCTTGCCTGTGTGTCTCCCAGGTGAGACGGCCAGCTATCTGCCAGGCGGCAAAGCTATTGCCTCACTCCCTTTCTTTCCTCTGCTCTGTAGTATCCTATCTGCTAGGTCCTTTCCCTCGAGCTCACTATCGCCTTGCTACCTCTACTCCTGTACTGACAGCAAAACAATGGGAGCCAGGACTGCCTTAACGAGTAGAAAGTGGATGCTCGACTAATTAGAGTTCCCCCACCCCCCCTGTACGACATCGCCTCCAACTCCTGTTAAGTCAGAACAGTGTGATACAGCTTGGCCAGGGCTGGGACTGTTGGACTCGTCTTGAGAGAAATAGGCGCTAGAAGTTGTTGTCTTTTTCTGGCAGCCGGCCAATGGGGGACCGTAGTAATTGCTCGAATCCCACTGTGGCAAGTGAGGGTGGTACAAGCCAAGAGAAGTGCGAAAATGCTGGGACCAAGTGTGGGAATGAGAATCTAGCAATAAAAAAAAAAAAATTGGAAAAAAAAATTGACAGATAGAAGAAAAATGAGGCACAGAAGAAAACATGGAATGACACGCGGGACGAGGGATTGAGAAAATAAAGTCTGAGGAATAATTCAAGTAGAAAGAAAAGTGGACAAAGTGAGGGGAGTGTAAGTGAAAATAGAATGACCTCGGGTGATACTCACTAGGGAGAGGCAGACAGGGGTGCAGCGAGCGTCTTGGCTGTTGGAGTGGAACGGAGCAGGGTGCAGTGGTGGCTGCACAGAGGGCCCTCACTGGACACTTCAATCACAGGCAGCCGGAGCCCCGGGCAAACTTGGCCAATTAGCCGCACACTGCTGCTGACCCCCAGCTTCATTAAGGGCCCGGGCTCTGGATAAGGGCAGAGAGGAGAGGATTAGGGAGGGAGACAGAGAGAGAGAGAGAGTTAAGCATCAGCACAGGCCAGGTTTAAGGGCACACACACACTTGTATTTGCACGGACACACGCACTAGAGGTGAAGCTCAAGGTTACAGATCAACACAATCAACTGTGGGAGCACCCTATTCCAGACATGTACACGCTCACCGTATTACACTCCCGCCTCCCTGAAGATTTACACCTGCACCAAAAGGTGATGGTGAGGCGGTTAAAGGGCATAGCTTCCCCCCCCCCTCTCACACCACTGCACTGACAGCAACAGGTGTGGTGGCCAGCAGACATGCAATTACCAGGCTGAGAATCTGCTCTTTGTGGCAGAGACAACGGCAGATCAGAGGGAAGATCAGAGCTAGGGGGAGAGAGACGACGAGCGATGTGGGAGGAGAGCTGAGACGAGGAGGAAGAGGAGGAAGATACAGACTACTGAAGGTCCCTGGAGGGGAGACAGAGAGGGAGAGAGATTTCCAGGTCGCTCTTTTCATCGCAGATCCTTCGCCGGCAGAGCGAAAAAACAGATACAAAAATCAACACATACGGCAGAACTGACACACCTGTTGTTCTTCAGTAGAAAAATGAATTTACACGCTTTGGTGGTCTGGAGAGACCTCACATACATGTGTGCACAACAATGAGACAAAGAAGAGAGTCAACTGACAGCATCCTATTTCATTTCAGATTGGGTGGGGCTGTGCGGGTGCTAAGGGACAGGTTGCGCTCAATGAGCCCTGACAGAAATACTGTTTGGTGTATGCATGTGTTTGTCTGCATTACAAGTGTGTATATTCACATGGGAGCTCTGCTTGCATCAGCCTTGTGATGGAAACCCCAGCGGTGCTCCAGGGTGGGGGTGGTAGCAGCTTCATGTTCTCCTTCCCTCATTTTCTCTCCACTCCCTCTACGATTAAAGGCCTTCGATCAGGCTAAAGTAATATTTGTGTGCTCTGTGTTGCAATAAGTGCTGTCAGAAACCTTAGATGCTCGAGTGGAGAGGAGATACTGGCCCTTTATTTAAAACAAGCCAAGGATAAACGATCAATGGCTTCAATTCAGGCCATCAATTGGAGGGAGAAGTTCACAAACATACTAGGAGATTATGAGAGGGAGATGTATGTGTGGACGGGGAAAACGGAGAGCGAAGGGGCATCTAGCTCATCTGTGTGCTAGTGGCTTATTGATTGTGGAGACACACAGCTCCCAGCCATTCATCACAGGCCACTCAGGCCCTTAGATAACTCCTATGATAGTGCCCTGCTACTGAGCAGCTGCAACTGGCCATATCCATTATCCTTCAAAGTAAGCCCCCTAGCCTGGGAACGGGCATGGTGAGGCTGCTGGGTGACAGCCTGGAAGGAGGGCGGGATGGAAATGGAAAAGATCAGGCCTGTGGTAAGGAGCCTGAGGCAGAGGCTAGTGTATACAAAAGGCTGGAGCTCGGGTTGAAGGGCCAGGGTTGAATGAAAAATGATGCTCAGACGGACAGAACAGAGATGAGAAACTGTCTGTTTGCACCAGTTGGAGGGGAAAAAATGTGACGGCACTATTGTTCCAATTTCTCGGGCAAACAGTATTAGCAAAGCTGTTTTCTAGCAGATAGCACACAAACAATTCGAGCGACAGGCAGCTCTGAAAACTGCTGAGTGGCTCTGTATGTGTGCAAAGAGAATTCCCAGATTGGGCAGGTGGGGATCAGCCATAATGAGCCATGCAGGGAGAGAAGAGCGGGGGGGGGGGGGGTCGAAGTGAGGGCAAAAAAAGAAGGGATAAGGCCAAAGAGCGAGAGAGAACGACAGAGTGAGAGTGATGGAGACGGGCTCAGAGCCAGAGACAAGGCCCCAAAAGAGCAATTACAGGAGCTCCAGAGAAGGTGTGGGCCCAGCCCCCGGGCATAGTTTCACAAAGCCCGGCTAGACATGTACACACACACACACACACGACATGATCTTAGAAAACTTCTGATTAGCAAAAATCTGAGATGAAAATAAAAAAGAGAAGTTGGGTGGAAAACAAAAAAAGAAGGAAGCACAACGGGGTAGTGTGTTAAAACTGCGGGCATCTCAATCCGAAAATATCCCTGTGCTTTACTCCCTAACATGTTTTCAAAGCAACATTCTGTTCTGGTTGAAACCTGTTCCCTTAACAGCATGGCCAGAGACAAAAGCTAAAACTCCGGGGCTGAGGTCAGTGCGAACAAAACTTTGAAGTCGATTGTCTTCCATGTGGCGAGGCCTAAACAACACTGAAAAGTCTGGACAGCCTCCCACCATGGTGCCCGTCACTAATACAAGTCCGAAATGGTTTCTGAAGGCTACCGTTTCTGTTTCTGTCCCCCCCCCCCCCCCCCCCCCCCCCCAAACATCCTACCTCACCCACCGCCACCTCCACCACTTAAAGGAGAACGACAGGCTGGAAAGAACATGCAAGAATGATGGGAGAAAAATAAAGAGAGAGATGTGCAAAACAGATAAGGGGGAGGGGTAAATTAAATTAAGAGAAAAGTTCTCGCGCACCGGTATGCACCATTGATTTCCTATTCTCTTGGAAACATTTAATGAGCTTAAATAGGAGCCTCGTTTGACACTGCCACAGTGACTCAGAGGAGCCTCCCAGTGAGAGGAAATCGTTCAGCGGCTGTGACGGCTACCAGAGGGGGGTGGAAGATATACAGGGGGTGGAGGAAGAGGAGGGGGAGGACAGAAAAGTGAAGGTTTTAATGCCAAAGCATGAGACGTGTGCAACACAGATGTTGGATTACGCTCGGGAAATGGTCCATAGGTAGCATTACTTGCCTAGCTCGCGATGAGGAAGAAGGAAAATGAAGGATGAAGTAGATTACGGAAAGAGAGGTAGACGTTGGAGGCTAAAGGTGGGCCAAGCAGGCTGCCTAGGTGCTTACTACTCAGAACAGGCACTCATTATAACCGAGCAATGTCCAAACTGATTGACAGCTACTGCTCTGCTGCAGTGTTTCACCTCATTACTTCCTCGATGACCTCCCTATGAGACATTCAACAGATGCCTATAGCAGCCATCTTGTTTTTCTACCCCTCCTTGCTCTTTTTCCTCCTTCTATCGGCATGCAAACTATTGTCACTTCAGAGAGCAAAGTCCTGAGGCGCTTCGCTGCTCTCCACCGCTGATGAAGGCCCACTGGGAACCATCGGCAGCCGCTTTATGAAGCCGTCTGCTGGAGTGAATGAACTCAGCGTCCTGCCACCTTTTGCAGGCAATCATGATAATAAGAGTGGAGTTGTGCATGACTGTACACTGGCACCACAGGGGGGCATCTCAACATCGACTGCTCGCTGCTGTGGTGTGTTTGTGGGAAAGTGTGTGTATATGCAAGTGTGTTTCGGGCTAGAAGATAAACTGATTTTATTGAACTGAATACATTTGACAGTTCTCTAGTACTCCAAACTAATTATAGTGGGAATCGCTACAATGAAACAGAACTTAAATCAACCAAGAACCTTACAGTTCAGTCCAAAACCACACATTGAATAATCCCATCGGCACAATGACACAACCGCCAATTCATAAATACAAAAATCATTAGTAAAGTCTAAAAAAGTATCCTGAAATAGATAGACATTAAATAGAAGTGTTGGAATACAGACACTGAACATTTTAAGAAGAATAACTCTTATTAATTATTAATTCAATAGAATATAATTGAAACCATTTTCCATTATTGATTTAGTATCTCATGTCAGGGAATATTTGCTGAATTTCTGCAGCGTTTCTTATCCTTATCCTTCTTATCCAGTACATTTCTGAATTTTCCAAAATACTGTTTAATCTTCAAAAAATGATCAATGGATAGATTATTTAATAAAGTCAAATGATAGATCCAGTGAGATAATACCCAGGTCTGTATAAATGCAAAACAGACACACTGTGCTTTACATATGTTAACAAGGACTGTGTTCGCCGGGTACATAACTGCCTATAAAACATGTTGGCCGGCTTTTAATGGCTTTGAGTGTGCTAATGTGCATGTAAACATGCAAATACATATGTGCATGTGTAATGCTGTTGGTGAGTGGTTAAGCATAAATATTTCAAGTCCCTGTGCAATGCTTTTAACTCAGTCGGACGTGTTTTCTGGTTTGCTTCAGCTTTGAAATTCCACCAGTGTCTGTTTCTTATATTAGCGGGTCAGGATGAGTTCTTCAGTTCCTGACCCTCGTATTTTCCCCCAACTCTGGCTCAGCTGCAAGAAGAGCGGCTGGCTTGTACTACCTCTGAGTATCTGTCCAGACAGACGCATAGTAAGCAGAGCTGGCAGCAGTGCTGGGGCCATGTTTAGCTTGGCTTTCATGTGTGACTCGCAGCTAAATAGATTGTTCTATAGGACTTTTTTATTTTCATGAAAATAAATCCTTGGTTAAAACAACCATGAAAAAATTACAGAACACACAAGATTGCCCTTTTCCTTCGGTTCCAGCAGATACACATAGGCTTACACTCCCACACACACAACCAAGTATACGGAAAGTGACTAACAGCAGCATAAGGACGACAACTTGGGAGAGGCGTAGTGGTGAAGTGCCCGGCACAGCTTTCTCCGGTGTCCCCAGCTGTCATTTCCACCATCCTTGCTCAACATAGTGCTGCCACTAAAACTATTTTTCCCTAGAAACTGTCTTTGCTCTCCGTAGGAATCTATAGGCCATCATCTATACGACACTATGGACATTCCTCTAAATCATTTACACTGGCCATAGCCCTTGGAGAAATGGTTATTATTGAAACAGAAAGCTATATTTCATAATTGCACTATACCACGCTGCTATCCCCTCAGTGAAATTGGCTCTCCGGAATAAATTCTCTCACACTCAACTCCATCTCCCTTTATCTCCCTCTCTTGTCTTTTAGAGAGGGCGAGTTTGACAGGCTGACTGTCTCTCCTGATGCAATAACCACCCGCCATTTGTATCTGAGGAGGGTGCAT